ATTTTAATGCAGGCACACTAGGAATAATTGATGTAAACTATAAATGACTAAAGTCATTCCACTTTAAAAAGAATTCCAATGTGAATTTCTATAATAAACAAATAAGAACCTCCCGATTTTTTGGCTGTAATCATTACTTTTTTTTTTTTTTTTTTTTTTTGTATGATGGGGCTTTTCATGGTCTAGTTGTGCAAGGCCCAAGGACTTAGGGGGCTGGGCATGAACACTCACCATCATTGAAGATCAAATTAGGACAAGGCTTCCAAGTTCATTGTCTCATCCCAATGAAAATTAAAGACACAGACACTCCTTGAGGCATACAAAGTATAAGGAAGCTTTATTAAGGAGAATTACTGAGAAATGACAAATGGAGGTCAAGTAAGAAATTAAGGAAAAAAATGATAGAGGTTCCCAGAGTAGGATGTTTTTCAACACAGAAAATGCCACCAAACTTTCTTTTCTATGGTTCTTATAATGAGTAAGGCAGAGACTAGATAAAGACTAAAGTAATTGGTATGAGACTGGTTAGTTCTCTGGGCTATCATGGAGTTAATCAATGGAGGACTCACATGCTCTATACATGTTCTCCTGATCCAACAGGAAGGTCGTCATGTGCTGTTTATATGCTGCCTACCCAGCTAGGGAAGGCTGAAGCCCCCTCAGCCTGCTTCTGACTTGTGCTTTGTTAGCTGCTGTTCTTGACTGTCTGCTAGCTAAAGGTGGCTGGTGTTGCCACATCAACCTTGTTAGTGTCTGGCTGTTAATTAGACCATGTTCCCATTGTTCTCATATTTACTTGACCAGTTCACAACTTTAATGTGGCCCAGAGTTAACCCTATCACAACCACCAAGAAGATGTCACTGCAGTTCGGGTTTTCTCATCTTTAGCTCCTTGTCTGTGATGGGCTTTGGGGTGACCTCCTAGGTGGAAGCTGCTTGTTAGAAGCTATTCTTAGTTAGAGTATAGCCTTCTTCAATTACCTACACCAGAAGCAAGAGTGGATGACTGGACAATTGATAGTATCTTCTATCTGTTCTTCCTGGGCTTTGGGAGGTGTCGAGGAAACCGACGGGTAGGCAGCCTGCTGACACTAGGCCAGAGCACTGTCTCTTTCCTCTTGTCCATCTATCTTAGTTTTCTCAAACCCAACTACAAGCCCTCTTACTCATCTGCTTCAATGTGCCAGATTTTGTTATCTGAACCTTCAATCTCCCTTTGACCCTAAAGTCCATCCTTACCACAACATGTGTGAGTTTTAACCAAAAGTATTTTCCCTCGACTTATTGACTACTTAGAGCTTGCTCCTGAGTCATTACTATCCCCTAGATTCTGATTGTAACATGTCACAATTCATATAATTCTCACAGCCACCCTTGGAAAAAGTCTAAAAGTATCAAATATTGGTAAGCATGTGGAGCAAACAGAACCTTCATGGTGGGAATGTAAAACTACACATCAACTTAGAACATAATGTGGCAATTCTAAAAAAGTTAAACATGCATCTACCATATGGTCCAGTCCTTGCACTTTATATATTCACACAATAGCAAAATAAATGTGTGTTCATACATATTTTCTTACACAAAAATATTCACAGTAGCTTTCTTGAAGGTAGGTTGAACTAGACTCACTCTAATTGTCCCTTAACTGGTGACTAGAAAAGAAACTGCTGTTCATCCATGCAATGAGATACATTTAGTAATAAAATAGGAACTACTGTGACCAATGTAACACAGAAGAAGATGGAGATGAAAGTACACTAGCAAAAACAGAATAACAGTTGCTTGGGAATGGGGCAGGAGGGAAGAAACTATAAAGGGGCACAACGGTACCTGAGGGTGATGCACATGCTCCTTTGTGGTGTCACACAGGTATACAAATGTCAAAACTTGCCAAATTACACACATTAGATATGTTCCATATGTCAATTACACCTCAATAATGCCATTTTCAAAAATCCTGAACTAGGTCATCAGATTTTTTAAGAGTGGAAAGAATAAACAAAAGTCTGTTTAGTGGCCTCAAAGACATTTAGGAATGATGTTAGGTATGTAAGAAATCCATACTCTGGCTATTAGACATAAAGCAAAGGATTACCAGCCTACAATCCATACCTCCAGAGAAGCTAGGAAGTAAGGAAGACATGGTCCCTCACAAAAGGGGAAAGGGACAAAACCTTCTGAGCAAATTGGGAGCATGGTGGGGGGAGGGGAGAGGGAATTAAGAGAAAGAGAAGGGGAGAAGAGGAGGGGAGAGGAGGACAAGAGGGAGCAGGAAGACTGAGTCAGGGGAAAAATACAGAAGAAAAAGTAAAGATGTACCATAATTGAGGTAGCCATTATAGGTCCAAAGAGAAATCTGGCACTAGGGAAATGTCCAGAGATCTACAAGAATGACCCCAACTAACAATCTAAGCAATAGCGGAGAATCTACATTAAATGCCCTTTCCCAATAATGAGATTGATGATGACCTTATATGCCATCTTAGAGCTTTCATCCAGTAGCTGATGAAAGCAGAAGCAGACACCCACGGCTAAACACTGAGCTGAATTATCCTGTAGAGAGGTAGGAGGGTTAAGCAAAGGGGTCAAGACCAGGCTAGAGAAACCCACAGAAACAGCTGACCTGAACAAGGGGGAGCTCATGGACTCCAGAGACTGATAGCTGGGAAACCAGCATAGGACCGACCCAGACCCCCTGAATATGGGTGTCAGTTAGGAGGACTGGGCAGTCTATGGGGCTTCTCATAGTGGATCAGTATTTATCCCTAGTGTGCGAATAGAATTTGGGAGCCCATTCCACACAGAGGAGTACTCTCTCAGCCTAGACACGTGGGGAGGGCCTAGGCCTTGCTCCAAATGATATGACAGACTTTGAAGATTCTCCCATGGAAGGCCTCACCCTCCCTGGGGAGCAGAAAGGGAATAGGATTGGGGGGGGTCTTAGGGAAGGAAGGGAGGGAGGGGAACTGGAACTGACATGCAAAACAAGCTTGTTTCTAATTTAAATAATAAAAACAACAATCCATACTCGCCTCCCCTTAGCTGGCCTTCACATACTTCAGTGATATGTCTTGCTGGCTGCTCTCCTCCACTCAACATCATCTCTGTCATTTTTAAGAGAAGAACAAACTACTCGTTATATCTTGGGGAAACTAAATTAAATATATAGCCAATATTTACAAATATTATAAAGGGAGCATTCTAGCAAGGTAATATCGCATGAACTTTTTCAACACACAAATTTAATCTCTCACAGTATCAGTAATTCTCATCTGCAAAATGCATTAAGAAACTACAAAAGCCAGAAATTAAGAAGAACAGGCTCTGTAGGAATTACTGGTTATTATTCTTTGAACAGAGCTATCTTTTTTCCCCTCTGCTTAGAGAGACATCTGTTTCTTCTCTTCCCTCATCTGCACTCAAATTGCACTCAAGCTTTTTTCCTAGTCTGCATGCCTCCATTTAGATTGATCTGCGCCGAAGGTCCTTGAACAACCTTGCACAAGCATTATACCGTTATGCTCAGCCTGTGAAAACTCCCATCTAATGGACTGGCATTCAGCTCTTCAGATCTGCCATCCTGTATTCTAGAGTCTGGACCCCTTTACAGTCTTTATTCAAGGACTGGATGGCATACTCTCCATATCATCTCCAGTTCCAATTGAGAGTGGAGACACTTGTTCTGAAGGGTACTTTCCAGGTATAGGGCTTTAACTCTTTGAAGATTAGAAAGATACTAATAAAAATTCATAGCTGGTAAATCCACAAACTCTAGAATTAAACATCTCTAAGTTGAACTTCCATCCCTGTCACTTGCTTGTGGAAATTTATCTCTAATTTTTGAGCACTAAAATGGAACTTAAGTTATTTTTTTTTTTTAATAGTATTGCCTTCTGTTGTAAAATACAGCATTGTGGCCAGGTGGTGGCGCTGCTGGCATTTAAACCCAACACTAGGGAGGCAGAAGCAGGTGGATCTCTTGTCAATTCAAGGCCAGCCTGGTCTACAAAGCAAATTCCAGGACAGCCAGGGCTACACAAAGAAACCCTGCAGGGGAGTGGAGGGTGGGGGGTTGCCAAAGGGCTCACAAAGTCTGAACCAACAGCCAGGGAGCCTACATATGTGTGATCCCTGTGTAGCTTGATCTATCTGTGGGACTCCTAGCCCTGGAAGCAGAGGCTGTGTCTAATGCTTTGGCTGGCTTTTGGGAACCTATTCCTCACGCAGGATTGCCTTGTCCATCCTTAATACAATGGGAGAAGCTCAATCCTATCCCAGCGTGATATGAATGCTTTGTTGATAACCATGGGAGGCCTGCCCCTTTCTGAACAGAAGTGGATGGGGGAGGGGGAGGAAAAAGGGCAAAAGGGCGGTCGTGATGTAAAATAAATGAATACAATTAATAAAAGAAGAAACCTTGTCTCAAAAAGAAAAGAAAAAAACAAAACTCCCCAAAACAAAACATCTAATTATGGCTAATCTTAAAACAGTATTTAAGATACCTATTCAACTTTTTTCATATATATATATATATATATATATATATATATATACACACTTAAATACATATACATACATATATACACTTAAATCAACATATCCCATAGTCATAATATACTGAGGGGAAAAAGGGGGCCTTCGCTTGTGGGTTAGGGATCCCAAAGACCTAAAATCAGGACTACTCAAAATATGGTACCCAAGTAAAAGAAAAGGCCAAGGCAGCTCCAGCCCAGACAGCAGCTCCCCAGGGAAAACCCAGCCCATTTCCGGCTGCCCCACCCACTCTGTCACGCTGGACCCCGCCCCTCTCCGCGAGGGCCCGCCCTCCTACACCCGATCCCGGTTCCAATTGGGCAAATCTGAAGGCTGTACACACACCCCCGACACGCGCACGCCGGGCGGGGCCTTCGCGCCTGCGCAGCAGCGCGGCCAGCGGCTGGCCTGGCCGGGCCGCGGGGGGAGGGGGCGGCCCGCGGAATCCTGCTCCGTAACAAGCGACGCGCCGCGCCCGGCGGTCCCGGCTGCGTGGGCCGCTCGGGTGCGGCTGGGCGCTGCGGCTGCGGTGGCTGCCGCCGCGGCGGGCGCGATGGAGGCCGTGCCGGAGCCCCGCACGCTCGCCGGGGGCGGCCGAGGCAGCCGGAGGGGCTGGTAGATGCGGCGGCGGCCGCGGCGGCGGCGGCGGCCCGGGCTCTCCATGAGCGAGCGGTGGCGGCGACGGGTGCGGCGGCACCGGTGGTCTTCGGTCCCGCGGGAGGTAGGCGCGGGGAAGCCGCCCGCGGCCCCGAGGCCTGGCCGCCGCGGCGGGAGGGTGGGCGTGGCCGCGCGGGCGTGGACCCCCGCCCCGGAGGACTGCGGGTCCCGCGACCCTCCGTATTGCGGCGCTCGGTTCCCGCGACAGGTGGTCGATTCCTCCGGGGAACACCCGGTGACCCCTGGCCGTGACAGCGCGAGAAAGGGGTCATGTTGGTGGAGGAATTGAGGTTGGGGAGGTTCCCTAGCTCCGTCCAGCTAAAGGAGCTGGGATGGAGGCAGGTAAGAGCCAGAGAGTAAGTACATCCTCCAGTGACTATGTGCCAGAAACTCGGGGCTGTCTCAGTGAAGCGCTTTGCAGCCATCTCCCTTTTTTTCCTTTTTTTCGAGTTTTGCTGCAATTTACATTTGAACGACCGGCCGGTTTATTGCTGGAATTGTAATTGTGCTCAAGCTTCCAGTGTTCCCTTTTTGAAGTTAGGTTAATGCCCTGTGTCTAATCGTTGCAGATTACAATTATTGCTTTTCAGAGCTGTGGTTATTCTTCATTCGACCACATCCTAGACATAATTTGAGCAGAAACACTAGGGATTTATTCTTCCCTTTCCAGTATAATATTTAGGAATCCGAACTCAAGCTCCTAAACCTTGCTACAAAATTCTTTAAAATTCAAGAGAAAATGGAGATCATGAAAAGTTTTCTTGTTTACAAAAAAAAAAAATGCTTAAATGACTTGGGATTTTTTTTTACACTAAATTAAACTGGCCAATTTATATTAAGAAACATGTTTGTTTCCTTGGCTTAAGATTTGCCACACTCTATTTCAGAGTAATTGATGAGAGCTAGTGTGTTAACTGACTATATATAAACACCCGTATTTCAAACTAAATATAGTACCAAGTAATTTAGAGTGCAATAAATATCTTGTCTCCAGTAGAAAACAGTTTACATGTTTAATGCACAACAGAATTTGCTAGTACCACAGAATGGTTTTGGACTTAATTTTGGACATAAAACACAGGTTTACAGTTTGTGTTGTGTTTAGGAGGATGTGATATTTGAAAAGAAGAGGTGACCAAAATAAGACCCTGGCAGTGCTCGCCTTTAATACCAGCATTTGGGAGGCAGAGGCGGGTGGATTTCTTGAGTTCAAGGCAAGCCTAGTCTACACAGCAAGTTCCAGAACAGCCAGGGCTACACAGAGAAACTCTGTCTTGGAAGAAAAAGAGAGGGAGAGAGAGAGAGAGAATGACTTTAGCCATTTCTTTCTATTGTTCCGATATATCTCCTTTTCTTAAAAATAAACTTTTCTGTACAAATACCATTAGAAAGCAATATTGTAGTTTATAGTTATTTTTCCAAATAAAGTGAAGCAATTTTTACAACAATTTCAGCAAGAACTGTTTGTTTGTTTTTCATTGTTCTTGTAACATATGTAGGACACAAACATCTTTACTGAAGTAATGTCAGTGACTTTAAAAAACGGTGTGTCTGTCCTCAAGACAAGGAGAAGGAAGAGTGGCAGTTTAAAGAGGAAGGACACTCCAGTTTATCCCCAGGAAATGCAGCGGGGAGAATAAGGGTTATTAAGTTCTAAGAGTCCCATAGCATGGGTTCTGTAGTTAAAATGAAGATAAAAACAGTCCTAGGTAACAAATAAATATCCAAAGTGATTAGAAATAATAACTGTGCTACTATTTGAAGTGCTGTGTTCACTTCTCTTTGTATTTCAAAGTCAACGCCAGATTATCTTTCATGTAGAGCAATGTGGTTGTTTTATAGCATAGATGCACTTTGCAATATAATTAATATAAAAACCTAGAGATGGTGGCTCTTTTGTACTTGAAAATATCGGCGAGTGTCATTTCATTTTCTTAAGTTGAACTACCTGTATCAACAAGGAAATGAAGTATAAATAACTTGGAATTGGGGAGGTAGAAAAAGGCTTACATTAAGAATAAAACCAATTAAATTTAATATGTATCTAGTTTCTATTAGCATGTTAATTTTTTACAAAGTTATAAGCATTTATGACATAATCTTTTAATAGCTTTAATTTTCATTTAAGATTTATTACAAGGTTTCTTATACCACAGATAGAAACCAATTAACAAAAGGCCCATCAGATGGTCATTCTGTACCTTAAAAAGAGAGATTTGGCTGCTTTTTTTCTTTTGTTGTTTGTTTTTTAAAAATTGATCTAATGTTATGTATTCAAGTGTTTTAAACATATAAACATATAAGCAGTTGTAAGCTTCCATGTGGGTACTGAGACCCAAACCTAAGTCACCTGCAAGATCACTTCAACAATCTTTACAGAGACCATGCATATTGCCAGTGCCACACAAATTGTTGTGGTTGTTGTTTTCATATTGGGAGGCCACCTAACAATCTAATCTATTTTCATTTAAATATGTCTCCTTCCATTACATGCTTTATTTTGCACTTTTAAATGCAGGATGAAGACACTGTTTGAAGAGATCAAAGCATCAATTAAAAATAACTATAACCAAGATCGATCATTTTGGAGGCCTGTTCTTCCTTGGGGAGGAGTTTTTACCATCAAAGCTGGCCGCAAAGCAGTATCCTGTACACCCCTCTATGTTGAAATCAGACTGAAAAATACCTGCACCATAGATGGATTCTTGATGTTACTGTATGTCATTCTTAATGAAAATGAAAGTTTCCCCAGGGAACTCTCTCTCCATTTTGGCAGGGAGTTTGTAGACTGTTTTCTTTATTTAATGGACACCTACAGTTTTACAACTGTGAAGCTACTTTGGATTTGGGACAAGATGGAAAAACAGCAATACAAATCTGAAGTTCATAAAGCTTCATTAATAATTGATTTGTTTGGGAATGAGCATGATAATTTTACAAAAAACCTTGAAAATCTCATGTCTACCATTCAAGAGAGTTACTGCTCTAACTGGCGCTGTCCGACCCGAGTGCAGGAAGATCAGCAGCGCACAATTAGTATAAAGTAAGTTGCTCCCAGTTCTATTCCTTTTTTAATGACCTTTGCTTAATTGCATGCATCTGTGTACAAAACCACCTGGTAACTTCTCAGTAGAAAAGAAATTATCCAGTATGCCAAGTGAATCACTCTTGGTCCTAGTTTACAAAGTTCTTTGTGCCAAAGATTGAACCTCTTAAATGTTTAAACTTTAATGTTTTAGAGTATTTTATCTTTTGAATGGTCCTCTGTCAAGAAGACTAGTTCTACATAAACAAGAAAACTAAAAATACTTTTTTGTGGCAAGGCCAGATAATATTTATAGACAGAAACTCCAAATTAGGCTTCTTGTATCTAGAGAGGATGTGACTGAGAATATTTTAGTGTTAAGTACAGATGGTGCTGGAGGTAGCTGAGTGGTTTTGGCTTTCAGAGAGAACACAGACTGCCATGATGCTGAACGATGGTGGGGAAAACCACCCTGGGAAGACCGGGTGGAGTGATGGCAAACATTAGCTGTCTCAGGACTGGTAGGGAAAAAGACTGATGCCACAAGCAAATCCAGATATTTCCAGAGGTGAATTTGGCCATAGTCAGGAAGCACAGCTTACTAGTTTAGAAATGCCTTTCATCATATTATAGAACTTTTAAAGCTTATTTTTTGTAATCTTATTTAAAGCAGGCTCTGAAGTTTACAGAGCAAGCATTTCTAACAAAGAAAACAAGGCACAATTGTTAATGAGTTTACTCTGCTAATCAGCTGTTGTCTGGAATCTGCATCCAACTTTCTGCTTGCCAGAACTCAACTGTTGAGGCACATTTTCTTAAGAAGCAATAACTGTATATACATCAGGATCAGTTTACAGGAAATTTTTATTCATGCAACATTTATTGAGTTCAACTGCTTCTATAATACCTGCCTAAAACACAAGCCTGTTCAGGTCTACTCTTGCATGACTGTAATGCCAACATGCAGGGAGTTGAAACCAAAAAAAGGATCATTGTGAGTTTGAGGCTAGTCTGGTCTACAGAGTGAATTTCAGCCAGCCTGGGCTAAAAGTGAGATCCTGTCTTAAAACAGCCAAAAGCCCCAAGATATCATAGGTCGTGTGTTTCATATAGTTTATTCTGCCCATAATATACTAGCCTCTAAAATTTATCATTCTAAAAATATACTGAACTGTTAAAGTAATCCTTGCATTTTGCTATTATTGTAGTCCTCCCCAAGAAATTCCACATGGAAACTTGATTCGACTGGCTGTGGATGAGTTATTCAGTTCCAAGATTGAACTTTGTGAAGAGCGTGGGTGAGTGTAGGATAGACATTTCAAAATATTTCTATTGTGTTATAAAGAAATCTAGACTGGTAAGCTCTTTAAATTAATACACTTCTAAAGCAGAAATGCATAAATAAATATTTAGCCTAACATTTTTTTTCAATATTCCTAGTCTAGTTTAGTATGTCATCATTGTTACATTTTGTTACCATATATATATATAATGGGTACTATTACCTATTGATGAATACAAAGCAAACACCTTTTCTCATTTTCCTCATTGTTGAGTAGGTATAGTAAAACCTTGGTTAACTGGAACCTGGCTAATCAGGACCCCCAATTAAATGGACTTTTTGCTGCATCTCATTTGGGAGAAAGGTAAATGAAAACCAAAAAATTTAATACATTAAAAAAAGTCAAACAGAACATAAATATCCCAATAATTTAGCAATTTCTATGTCCACATTATTTTGTGCATTGGAAGTTAATATTTAGAAGATGGTCTCATGAAACCATAAAAGATCACAAAATAATGAAAGATAAAAGCTACATTAATTATTTTTAAGACCATAAAAAAGAAAACCTACATACTTTAGCAACAAGTACTGAAGCATATGATTTTCTGGTTAACTTAGTGTAGTCAGTAGTGTTTGTCAATCCGAGTATTGTGCCCTGAGCTTTCCGGTTAATCAAGATTTTACTGTAAAGTTTTATTTTGATGTGTATACTTAATACTTATTAATATCAAAAATAGAGAGAAAGAATTTATTTCATGTTAATAGACGATGCTAATCCTAAAAAGGTAGCATTTTCTTCCTCAGTCATTGAAACCATCTTGAAGACACTATGTATAAATAAAAGCAATTACAGTGATTCAGCAGATTCATGCTTTTAAAACTCTTAATATAAACAGTAACTTATCTAGTTTTTGAAGCATCACGTCTAGTATAGAGAATAAACTATATAAACCTCCAGGACTTACAGATTAAATACAGTTCAGAAGTGTTGACAAGCCATTTGTCTCATGTATGTTAATGATCATGCCCAATTTTCATTTTAGGTGTGGTGGCTTAAGAGAATTTTCCCAACGAATTTTCTGCCATGGAGCACCCCCTTTTGTTGTGTTAAACATGCAGCATTGGAAACCTGAAGATCTGGCATATGTACCCTATTACTTGGATTTATCTGATCACAAGTAGGTAGTGTTTGTTTATTTGCTCATTTTATGAAACTAGAAAAAAAAAACTAGTCCACCATGATTTTTACTAGCCATTAAATATTGTTAGCTGAACATGGTGGCACACAGCTTTAACCCCAGTACTCTGGACTCAAAGACAGGAGGGGTCCTGGTGAATTTGAGGCTAACCTGTTGTACATAGGGAGCTCTGGACCAGTCAGAGCTACACAGTGAGACCCTGGTTAAAAAATAATAATAATATGTTGAGAAAAGAAACAACAAGGATTTCTGGATCCCGGGATCAGAGTCTACTATGAGGAAGCCTGTTACTAGCAGCATGCATAATGATTAGACTGTTTTCAAACCTAGTCCTGCCTTTTACAAGATATGTGACATCTATCCATTGTCTTATTGATAAAGCAGAAATGATAGCACATATCTGTAAAAGTGCATGCATTTTAAAAGAGTAACTTAGGGATTATTTACCCTAACACTTTTTATACATTGTCATATAATGTGCAGGTATTTGCTGGAAGGTGCCACTCTATTTAACAAAGAGGAACATCATTATTCTGCAGCTTTCCAGATTGATGGACATTGGATGCACTATGATGGCCTCAGAAATGTGAATTTAATTTTGTTAAATAAACCCCCAGAGTTTCTCCTCTTGTCATCATTGGTTTATATTCGAGCAACAGAGAAATAAATATAGACTGATGCTGAATAAAATTGTTCTCCCGCTTACCCATGCTCCCTAGATGAAGGGCTCTTGTTCTGTATATACTTGGTATCCAAGGAATCAGTTCAACTATACTAGTTTCAGAGATGTATTTTTCATTGTTTTGCCCCAGGTAAATGTTTTATATGAAAAATCTATGCAAAAATGTATTTTTAAGTATTTTCTGGGTTATTTTTATACAGGCATATGTTATGTTCAAATAAAATGTTATCTCGTGGCCTTTGTAATTTTTATTTATATATACCTCAACAGTTTTTAGAGTTTTATCCTTAAATCCAAGAAAATACTTGTCATTTCAATTCTAAATTTTCCTTTTTAGATATCTGAGTAAATCCTAGGGTAAAAGCCAGCATTTTGGTTATCTGACTGTATTTCTTTGCCTTACCTCCAAAGTGCACTGTTGGATTTAGGGTTTGAATATACGGCTTTTGGATGGCTTATTTTACCCATTGCTTAGTTTGTTTTACATTTTACTAGTTTCCTTGTAGCAATTTAAAAGCTATATATGAAATTTTTTGTTTGCAAGTTACTATAACTTTTTGCTAATGTGTACACCCACCGGTGCATTTCAAGCATTAAGTAAGCCTCTGATTTCAGTTACTGTAAGAATTACAAACATAATACATAGCAATGGTAAATATCTTATCATTAAATATAACCAAAATTCCCCAGTAAGTTGTTTTCCAGACAAGGCAACTATCACAAACATTAGACAACTGGATATTTATTAGTGTTGGACTAATAATAGAAATGTGTTTATATATTTAAGAGGAAAGTGGGGTACCTAGTAATATTTCTTCTAGTTCAGTTTTTTATTGGTACAGAGGAAAAAAACATTAAAAAAAAATCAGTAACATCTGGCTCCCTGGAAACTGCTCATTGACATCAGGAGGCTTGGGTTTGTAATTCCATGGATGCAAAGTCAAAGCATTTTACAGTTAGCAGAGCTTCATGTTTTATTATAAATATTTTCAAGGGAGAATACTTGATGAACCATTATTCATTTAGTGTTTACATTACAATAAAATAACATTGTTTATAATTGGGGTTGAGATTGGGTGCAGTATATCTGAAGACTTTACATGACAACAGAGTTCACTGCCAAATACCAAACTGCTAAGCTTTCATTATAAATCTTACATTGCTGTTGTGCCGTATTGAGATAACATGCTTATAAGGATGGGAAAATGTGGGTGAAATCTTGCTAACACTGTCTCATTTGAGTAAATATTAAAATTATTTTTAATACAAGAATGAGAATGTCATTTTAAAAAAATCACCCGGTGTTTATCTAAATAAATCCCCAAATAAATGGAAATTGATTTACACCAAGCTTTTCTAGTAACAATGTATTGCATGCACCAAGCTATACAAAACATAGATACTAGTGTATGCATACATACATGGTATGGTTACATTATTAATGACTTAAGTTGCAGATTCTTCAGGGAATTGCACTTTATTTGGAACATTAGTTTATTGTACAATGACTTACCTACCTCACAGGGTTGTTGTGAGGGTTAAGATGTTAAAATTTTTACTACCTTGAACATCATAATAAAAATATTTCTACCTCTTTTGTGTGTAGGCAGTCTCCCAGATTGTCTCTTACAAACCTTTTACAATTTAAAAAATTATTTACGTATTACTATATCAGTAAAAAAATTAGTAGTAGCTCATATAACTAATGTGTGGTGGGATTTAAATATGGCTTCTAGGTGCTGAGTGGTTGGTTAATGGCTTTTAGAAAAGAAATTACCCACAACTGTCAATCAGTGTATAAAATCAAATGAGATCAGCTAGAGTATCCATAGAATGTGATGATGGAGATGAAGGATATTCTTTTTAAATCAGACACCCTTTGAGAAATCAACCTGAAGAAAGGGGGTCAGAAGAAAGAAAATATTTTCTTTAATCAAAATGCCACAAACTACCACTTAAAGAGGAAGAAGTAATTTTATAGATTTGTCTGAATGTGGGTGGGTTAGAGTGAGTGGTGCCACCTTCCACCTTGTGCCAATCTTAGATTTACTTACTAGAAATTATTTTTATGCATGTGTAATTCTATGTAGTGTGTTTGCATATGTGCACTACAAAAAAGCTTGTATGTTTGCATATGTGCACTACAGAAAAACTTGTGAAATGTGTGTTTGCATATGTGCATGTGTTAGCCTCTGTGCACTACAGAAAAGCTTGTGTGAATGTGTGTGTTTGCATATGTGCACATGTGTTAGCTTGTATGCACTACAGAAAAGGTAGGAGCCTGCTTGTGCACTTGGCTGCAACTTTATTATTTGTCTTGGAATTTTTGTCTCGTTTTAAATGTATAAAGCAATGAATATGAAGTACACGAAGAGGAAAAAGATGATAATTCTCTAAAAGACTACGGGGTGAGCTGTACAGAACTGAAGAGAACACAGCAAGGGAGCTAGAGCCTTGAAATAATCTCCTGGGAGCTGTCATAGTGCTGTCAGTTATCCAAGCTGAGAGCACTCTAAGAGGATAGTGAAAGTTCGAATGCAGCTGAAGCTAGACATGCAGTTCAGTGGCACATCATAGTCCTGACATACAAAGGGCCCCCAGTGGCTCTCAACCACAATTGCTTGAATAAAGCCAAGACTATCATTTCCAGACATAGGCATTGCCTTTTGAAGTTAGGGAATTGGAATTCCCTTTGAACCTAACATTAGCAAAATGTGGTTATAGTTGAAGCCGGGTGATAGGAACATGGAAGCTCCACTTCTATCAAAAACTAATAAAAAACCTGGGTATCAAAGCTCACTTGAACTGATGGAGAAGCCTCATCACAGCACATGGTTTTATTACTGGCCTTTTGTTCTAGATTGGCCCCAGAAAAGTCTCTTGGCATTCCACCATTTCAGATTCCTCTGGCCCCCTGTAGTAACATGGGCCACAGACATCAACATAGACCCTGACTGCAGTAGGGCCACAGAAATGGCCCTCAGCTGCAGCTCTGGCCGAGTTGCTACCATGGCACCGAGTAGTAGCACAGGCCACTCAGATCAGTATGACTCTGGCAGTAGCATGGCCATTGAACACCAATGAGGTCCAGCCCCTGGACTTCCATATGGCCTTTGGTGGCAACGTGGACCATAGATGCTTACACAGACCTGGGCTGCAAAAGGAACACAAACTCAGACAAGGCTTTCAGCATCAGCCTAGGCTTGGGGATCACCATGGCCCCAGATGGCAGAGTAGGTCACTCAGATCAGTATATAGCATATCTGCAGCATGTTTTGTAGATACCAACATGGCCTCAGGTAGCAGGTCAGACCCCAGACATCCCCACAGCCTTTGGTGGTAACAGGAGCCTAGGACATCAATTCAGACCCTGGCTGAAGTAGGCATGGACCCAGACATGAGCCTCAGCTGCAACTCTGTCCCAGATGTCACCATAGCACTGGGTGGCAACACAGGTCAGTATGGCCCCTGTGGAGGCCCTCAAACATCTACATGGCCACAGGAGGCAGCCCAGACACCAGGCATCCTCGTGGTTCTGGTGGCAACATGGGCCATGGATGTAAACACAGACCCTGGCTGCAGTAGGACAAGGGACCCAGACATGGCCCTTTGAAGCAGCCTGGGGCCTGACATCATCAGGGCCCTAGCAGGAAGCAGGCCTTCCACATCAGCCTGCCCCTCACCACCTTCAATTCTGTTCCTTCTCTCTCCTCAGCACACAGACAGTTCTGCTTTTCTTTCTCTCCCTCATTTCTCCATCACACGTTTGCTCATCATAACGGCACCAATCCACTGAGCACAACAAGGCACCTGGTGGGTCCATGGATGTCTTCCCAATAGTCCAGGCCTTGAAGACCCAGGCTGGCCTGTAGTTGGCTAGCACCTGCCTGAGCTGAATGGTATCAGGAGAGTCTGTCCCCATTAAACTTTTTATGCATGCATTTGTTTGCTCATTTAGAGACAGAATCTCATGTAGCCTAGGCTGGGCCAAATCTTGGCAGCCGTCCTATCTATGCCACCCCAAGTACTGGAAATCTCTTGTTTTTTCTGAAATATGTAATATATTATCTATAGTCACCACACTGCACAATAGATTACCAGTGTTGTTCTTTTGCTTCAGCTCTTGCCTATGAAACACAAAAACGAGACTCAGTGCCCACATAGAGTTTATTGATAGAGGGAAGAAGGGGGAGGGGTAGCTAATGGCCAACCAAAAGCAGGAGAGAAAGAGAGCAAGAGAGAGATAGAGAGAGAGCAAGAGAGAGAGGCACGCTTGGCGCTCTTGCTTTAAAAGGGAAACTTGCTCATGCTTAACTGAGTCCCCTGGCAGCCAGGTAAAGCTTGAGCAGCCAGGTAAGTCATGACATAGAGAAGACATGGCCATGAGCATCCCGTCCATCATCAGGGGGCGGGGTCAACAGACTGATGGGTTCCAACAACCAGAATGCATTTAACCAGCTAACTATAACTTCTTACTACCCATTGGTCGATATTTCCTCATCATATCTTCCCCTTTACCAAAATTCCATTATATTCTCAACTTCTGTGAGTTCAATTTTTTTCAGATTCCACATATGAGGTCTTACTCATGTTTCTGTTTCTGGCTTATTCCAGGTGACATACTGACAAGCAAATCAATGCATCCTGTTTTTGGTTTGGTTTGGTTTTTCAAGACAGGGTTTTTCTGTGGCTTTGAAGGGTGTCCTGGAACTCACTCTTATAGACCAGGCTGGCCTCAAACTCACAGAGATCTGCCTGCTTCTGCCTCCCGAGTGCTGGGATTAAAGGCATGCACCACCACCAGCAGCTTGTCCTGTTTTAAATTACAAGATTTCATACTTTTTAATGGATGAATGGTGTCTTGATTAAGGTTTCTATTCATCTGAAGAGAGACACACTGACCACAGAAACTCTTTTATTATTATTATTATTATTACATTTTTAAAATTTTATTTATTTTATATTCCAACCAGTTTGCCCTCCTTCCTCTCCTTCCATGCCCTCCCCCCACCTCCCTTCCACTCCCCCATCCACTCCTCCTCCATCTCCATTCAGAAAGGGCCAGGCCTCACATGGGAGTCAATACATTCTGGCACATCAAGTTTAGGAAGGACTAAGCTCCTCCCCCTGCATCAAGGTTGGGCAAGGCACCCAGCATGGGGATTAGGTTCCCCAAAACCAGCTCAAATACCAGGGAAAGGTCCACAAACAGAGCAAGCTATACAATTGTTACCC